TGCAATGCATTTCCTTCCAATCTTTTATATTTTTTGTTTTTTTCCAATCTTTTAAGAACCAAAAACAGAGAAAACAGAGCACAACTTTTTTTTTTTGGTTGAAGGTCTTCCCTATCTTTTAAAAAGATTTTCTGATGGTCTGATACCAACGTCATAAAATTTTAAAATAGAATACTATCATCTGAAAAATATAATAAGGTACCTAAATTTTCATATACAATGGCAGAGAAGGCAGAACAACCAGGACCCCCAGTGAGCCAAAGCACAAGAGGATCATACTCTGGACTCCCTTCAGACTCAAAGAAGTAATAAAACAGCTGCACATCATCCATGCCGCCCACTCCCACGTACCTTTATATAATTAAACCCACAAATTATATAATTCATTGTCATCTTTTGTATTAATGCAAAGTAATTAACAGAGTAGAAAAAAATAGTTATAAGAACAAAGATACCAACCCAGTTTCAAGCTTGAAGGGGAGGTCACCGCGAAAGCCGGGTAGGGTTTTGATGATATTGGACGTTGATGCAACATTAATGTTCAAAAGGGTCACCAGAAGAAGTGCTTGTGGCAACATGGTGATGAGGATATACTTGCTGCTAGGCATCTTTCATCACATGCATATCGAGGATGGCTTTATGACTCTACAGTTAGACCAGTACTAGTTAAAATATTAGAAAATTTGGTATAAGTCGAATTCAAATAGATGTTGGGTGCAATTCAAGCAAAAGTTGTTGTTAATTCAAGTCCTTTAGGGCCTGTTCGTTTATGTTTTAAAGGCCCGTTTTTGTTTTTAAAAAACAGAAACAGAGCAAAAACATGTTCAGTAAATAAAAATAGAAAACATCAAAAACGTTTTCATAAAATGAGTTGGACTTCACGTTTACTTTTACAAAACAGAAAAAAAATGTTTTTGTTCTCCCAGAAAACAAACGCTCAAAACAGACTTCTGCTCAATCTCTCTCTCAATTTTCTCTCCCTATCAGAATCGTTCTTCTCTCCTCCTCACTCACCCTTCTCTTCTTTCCCCCTTTCTTGACCACTCTTCTCTCTGGCTTGGCTCACTCCTCTCTTTGGCAATAGTCTCTCTTCCCCTCTTCACCACTAAGGCTTTTTGTTCTGTCTGATTGCTCCATCACCACAGACCACAGCTGCTCTTGGAAGATCTTGGTAATTTTCTATATTTTTCCTCTTTCTCTAGCTTTGGGTATTTTGTGCCTTTAGATCTAGGGTTTTTTGTTCATGGCTGTTCTAAAAATAAAAGTTGTATTCTGTAAATTAGGTTTCTTATACATCTAAAAATTACAGGGAAGAAGAAGAAGAAGAAGAAGAAGAGGAGTGACGCATACCTCACATTAACTGAGGTAATTCCTCGTTTTTCTTCTCATTGGTGCTTCATTATTTATTTGGGCAATTTAGCTTTATAATTTTCTCAATTGGGTTCCTTGTTGTGCTTAATTTTGGGATCTTTGATAATGATTTTCATAGTTTTGAGTTGGGTTTTGTATATGGTGGGCAAACCCACGAGTTGATATAATGAAATTATGGCATGATAATTGCTT